CTTCTGCGTTAGAGTCCACGTTTCCGCTCCGTATGTGAGGACCGGCCTCAGCAGTGTTTTGTACAAAATAATTTTAGTTCTCCTTTGGATATTTCTTGAGTGGAATTGTTTTTGAAGTCTATATTATGCCCAATTTGTAAGGTTTATCCGTCTTTTAATTTTTGAGCTTGTTTTACTGGTAGTAGTGACAAGCAAGCCAATGTATGTGATGCTCTCAACACGTTCAAAAATATGACTTCCAAATGCTGATTCTCATTCCTCATTTGCTATAGAATCCTTAGTTACGAACATGTACTTGGTTTTGTCCTCGTTGATGACTAGGCTGACCTGTTTGGTTGCCGTTTCCAATTCTAGGAAATATTGCTCAACATCTCGTTTGCTACGTCCTATTATGTCAATGGCATCAGCGTATGCTACGATTTCTATCGATATATTGCAAATAGTACCTCCGTTTCTAATTTGTGTGTCTTGGGCTACCTTTTCTAAGGCAAAATTAAATAAGAGGCAAGCCAGGGCATCCCCTTGTCTGAGATAAGTTTTTCTGGTATACCAAATTTACGCATTGATTGGTATAGTACTGTTCTCTTGACACTGTCGTATGCGGCCTTGAAGTAGACGAATAGGTGATGGGTTTCAATATTAAATTCTAATGTTTTCTCGAACATCTGTCTTATTGAAAACATCTGGTCAATTGTTGATTTTTCTGGGGCAAATCCGGCCTGGTATTTTCCAACTATGCCAACTGTGTAAACTTGTAGCCTTTGTCACACTGGAGCTGAGCGCCTTTTTTATGTAACGGGCATATCACGCCTTGAGACCATTCACAGGTTTATTTCGATCTTCTACGGTGTTATCTGCTTCTTTGATATAAGGGCCGTTAAATTTTGCATCGAAACTTGAACACATCGGTTCAAGATTGAATTCATCTCATTTAGGATATTTCCTTCTTCATCCTTACAGCTCCTTATTCCTTTCTGAAACTATTTACTCATTTTGTTAACATTTCTGTAAAACTTTAGAGTTTTGTTGTGATTTCTTAGCCATTCTATGTTTTCTAACTACTTTTCTTCAAATTTCTCCTCCACATTTTTCTTCGCTTCCAAGCTCTCTATTCCCTCTACCAGTTGTCTCCTATACTCTCTTGAAATTTTTCCTCTGATTTTTGCTATTTCAAGAAGGTCACTATCTATGTTTGGACCTCGGTAGCTTCTGACATCCGCGTGGTCAGAAAAATGCCTTGCTTAGGATGTGATCTTTTTGGTTAACAGTTTCGTTATCAGGTGATTTCCATGTACCTTTGTGTATTAATTTATGGGGAATCTTCTTCCTCCTACTATCATGCTTTTGATAGTTGCAAAGTTTATTAGTCTCAACCCGTTATCATTTGACTCTTCATGTAAGCTGTCAGATTCTATAGTTGGCTGAAAAAATTTGCTCTTTGCCAATTTAGCAATTGTTTTCACGCTATGACATAGACATCGATCATATTCTTACTGTGACCAAATTTTTTTGAATTTAACTTACTTAACAAGTGCGTAATAAAAAATATAAAGTTAATGTAAATGTTTATAAGCCTAAAATTCAGTCCATTTCCAAGCGATTTTTAATAATGTGGATAAAATGTTGAAATTTTTTTAATATATCTTAAAATTGAAGCCTTAGTAAATCGATTGCGATCTGTTAAATATTTCTAGAGTCACTGTTTGCGCAAATACAGTTGTTTAAATTAACCACTCTCCATTAACAAATTAAATCTCTCCACTCCGGGATAAACAAGTTGAATAACTTACAAACTATTTGGTCGATCTAGGTGAGATTTAGCATACTTCAACTCATTAATTGCCATAATTTCAAGTAGTTGTATTACATGTCATTAAACAAGTTATTACCATTTCTAAATTACTGCAAAGATAAGGGTTTTTTAGCCATATATTTTAATTTTGATACTCTGATTAGTGCTTTGATAGCTAAAGAACTCTGTATTGGTCTCTTTTAACAATATGATATCTTTCTTATCTTAAAATATTTCAATAATGTCTAAATATATGTTCATGGTATTCGGTTCGTTCTATGTAAATATATTTTGAGCTCTTCTAGACAATTAATCGTATCAGCCTTCAGAATTTGGACGGCCTCAGTGCAAAAGGTAACAAGTCATTTTTCGGATTTTTTTTTCTCATGTGATAATAATTGGTTTACCAATGTCTAACTCTGTGCAAAAAGAAACAAGTCTACTACCACAGAAAGGCTACATTTTTTTACGTGTAGAACGTAATAAGTTAAATAATATGAAAAACTTCATTTGTGTAAAAGGAAATAAGTGGACTTGTTACCTCCTTTACAGTATTTGAATTCACCAAACACTGCCTGGATGTCATGTTTCCAGTTAGTAACAGTACATTTTGGTTTGGTTTGGTATCTTTTGTTCGTCCTTGTTTAAGACACTACTACTCTGGCAACCCTGTCCGCAATGACATATGCATAGATTAATTCAACCTTGGTAGGAGTATGCTATGGACATGTGCTTGGTGCAATGCAAAGGTTACGTATTGTTGGAGGTTACTTTTGTGCTTAAGTCTTACTTCCTCAGATTGTCAATGATGTAATAAATGTAGACGAAAATCAACCCCAAGAAAAAGTTAAAATGAGAGGCTCCAAAGGTGGCACTAGAGAAAAAAGAAAAAAAAGTTTTTCCGAAATCAAGGATTAGCTTATTTTACGGGGCAAGGTATGAAAGTTGCTGGGCCGAATTTAGCTACCATTGCCCTCCTACAGAAAAAAGTGCAGTGGGAAAATTTCACTTGACAATCAAAAAAATATTTTCACTGCCTTTTGTAATTTAAAACTACGATACCGAAGGGCAGCCTATTGTGCGGTCTCTTAAGTAAAGATGATAACCTGAACCAGGATTAAAGAACGCGACAAAATATGCCTAGAAACTAGAAGAAAAGAACAGCTTTAGTTCATTACAATATTCTGATTTAGGGCCAAAGGATCGATGTCTGTAAGAGCTGTTTTCTCACAATATTTGACGAGACAGTAAAAGTTGTATGGACCATTGTCCAACAAAAAAGGCTTTCCATGCTTCAACAACCACCCCAGATGAACGAGGTAATCATATCCTTGGACATAAAATATCCACAGACAGAATGGCTTTGGTGCATTAGCACCTTACATCTCTTCCAGCATATGAGAGTTATTACTGTCGTAAACAGACTACTAAAAAATATTTGCCACCTCACTACACGCCGGAGGAAGTTTACAGTAAATATAAACAGGAAGTAGATGACTCAGTCAGTTTAACTATTTATGGTAATGCCTTTCGTAACTCCGGAATAAAAATAAAAATCCTAAAAAGGTTACTTCTCATACACGTGACGAAATTAAAATAAAATTTTCATACGCTCAAACTATCGAGAAGGAATTGTTACTGGAAAGTAAGGAGAATCATCACATGAAAGTTTTATTAACTTATGCAATGAAGTTGGCAGACAAGCAGCAGAGTCAGAATAACCCAAACTTTACTTCAATTGCATTTGATTTACAAGCGTGCTTGGGTTACTTCACTTGGGAACTTCACTTGTGCAAACATCAGGGGCCTTTTGTAAACGACAGTTATGAACATTTAATCTGACCATGCACAACATGAAAACAGGAGTCGCTTCATGTTTTCTGTGGTATTAGAGTATGGCAAAAAGAGGAAGAAACGAGATTGCTTCTTGTGTGTTCCATAGAATCCACCAAATAGAAAAAAATATTTCACATGTCGTTTTGTACAGCGACTCATGCACAGGTTAAAAACCTTTTAAAAACAGAATTATCATTTACAAAAAACAGGCTTACCAACAACCACTGCCACTATCATTGGAAAAAAAGAGACATTTTGTCAATATTTCTGTACCTCTCTCCGGTGTATCATAAATTTTATCAAGATCTACCAGCCCAAGGTGTTTTGTCTCGATCCTTTAATAACTGACAAAAAGGACTAGCATTTTTTTATTTACCATTTTTTATAATGATACATACCCGTTAGATATACCTTTTTTATTAATAAAGTTTTTGTAATAAATTTAATGTATTTTTGTGCCTTGAAGCTGCCAAAAAAAAGAAATAGTACCTGAGTAAGTCTGTGGCATTGGTAACAAGTAAGGAAAGTATTGTGCATTTTGTAACAAGTCAGGAAATTTGACTGAATTGAAAGTTCAGCTATAAAATTTTTTAAAGTTCAATCATAACCACTATTTTGTATCGTTTTCTGAAAAAATATGAAAAAAATTATCCGAAAAAAACCCAAGAATCGTTTTTTTCGTTTCCTCAAAACCAAGTAATTTGACATGTTACCTTTTGCACTGAGCCCGTCCATTTATGTAAATTGGGTCCAACACAACATATGTCTAGCTTTTTCGCGCTGCTGCAGACAAGGTAAAGATTACCATAATAATCACTAACATTCGTCATAAATAGGCACACCAAGAAGAAGAAGGAGGATCGATATTACAGTATAATAAGTAAGTGCATGCAGTGGATGGAAGCTAATGGTTTGTTTTGTAAGAGAAAGATTCCAAGGAAATTGAAAGAAAAACCCGAGAAAATTGCCGTAAGACCAACTGTGATGCACGGAACTGAATGTTAGATAGCTAAAATGAAAGAGGAAACACGAATAAAATTGGCCAAAATGACAATGCTTCTATGAGTGAATGGAGTGAAAAAACAAGATAAAATTAAAAATGAGTATATTATGAGTGGAGCACATATAGTTATATAATTAAATTATTAGAATAATTTGATTGCCAAATACCAATAAATAAAATAAAATGTATAATTTTTAAAGTGTGTAAAAGTAGCTTCAAAATCAGAGTAAGAATTCCTTCTATTTTTTTATGATTTGTTCATATTTTTACGTAAACATTCTGACAATAAACCCCCTTACTAATATTACATAATCAGCTGTTTACTAAAAATCGCGAGGACTAGTCTCATAAATATCTAAACACGTGTTTCGATAATGTGTAAATGCTATCACTAAGTCCGCAGTGAATTGAAGTCTAATACGGCAACGAAATATTTCAAAAATACAGAAAACCCTATCGCAACCTTATCTCCCATTGTGTACTATCATACTCTCATCGCTATTGCTCCAGCAATATTCAAATACCCATTAATTAGTTTAAAATGACGTGGTGGGTATAATATCTCAACATCCCATCAGTGTATAAATGTACAACAAATTATTACTTCAACTTATTCCAATTTGAATTGTTTAGTGTATCAGAGGTCGGAATACCCATATCACGCCGCGAGGGTATCCGTTTGTCGAACAGTGTACACGGTCAGTATTAATAATTGTTGTTGCTAGAACAAACACAAGGTGAGTACAGCATAACAAACAATTTTCATATATATATTTTTTTAATTTTCCGTGATCTAACACAGAGTTTTCTTCTGATGCTTGGTGTTTTTTCATATTTAAAATTTTTAAAAATGATTCTTCTTGCTATCCTTAGAATCTCAGTTTTCTACACTTGAATCGAAATACTCGTAATATCATATTCTTAATATATTTTTGACAAAAGTCTTTATACTATTAATTTTTTTTATTTATTTATGATGTGATTTTTACATAGAAAACTTATCTGTTGTTTTTTTATTTAGAATGATTTTATTTTGTTGTCATACTATGTAACTGGATCATACAGTATTTTCTATATCTATCACCATATTATAACAAATAACTTCATTTATCTTAAAGCTTTCATTTAAAGTTGAAAAATCCAATGTATGTTTTTAACGGTTTTTACTATTTTAACTTTGATATTATTGTTTCAAAGCTATCTGTCTTTGGCTTCACAGTTTTTTATACTTTAATAGAAACAACGATTTTTGAGTAAAATTTGTTTTGGAAATAATCTATAAATTATTCAATCAATTAGTTTTTTTTGACATTTTACGGTTCACATGGGAAAATACAGTTTTTTTTTAATTGTATGTTTTATTTCTGTTATTTTACTAATGTTTGTTAGTTTGTCTAATGCTTGTTTTTGTATAATTTATTCTTTACTTTTCCTTTATATATCAGTCTTCTTCTTCTTCTTCCTTCTTGTATGTAGGCTTTAAAGCCCACTTCTTCAATATTGGCCTCCTAAATTGTTTAAATTGTCTTAACATCTGTCATTTTACTGATGTGTTCGTTCCACTCCTGTTTTCATTTTGTCCCCCATCCATTTATGTCTTCTATATTGCATGCTCTTCTTATGTTTTCGCTTCTCTCCCTATCCAATAGACTTTTCCCTGATATTCGTCGGAGTATTTTCATCTCTGTTGTTTCTAGTATTCGTCTCGTTTTAGATGTGTCAGGTCCTGTCTCCACCATGTATGTTAATATAGGTTTAATTGGTACTTTATAGATTCTTGTTTTTGTGTCTTATATTGTATATATCTTATTTTGTGTCTCTATATAATAGTAAAGAACTTTTTTCTTAATGCTTCGAGTCAAAATTTAAATTTGTCTTTTAACTGTTTTTCAACATTTTGTTTTGTTTAACCTACGGCATCCTAATTTTACAAATGTTTTATTATTTTTTGGAAATAATTTACAAATTATTAAATTATTTTTTTATTTTTTCATGTTTTGATTTTTAAATGGGAAAATACAATTTTTTCTTGTTGTTTTTGGTATTTACCAATACTTATACTTTTTCATACTAAAGAACTCTGTTTTTATATAGGGTGAATAATTTGAGTCATTATTTAAAAAAAAATTTTTTTTTAATCGTTTTTCAACTTTTCCGGTCGTATCCTAATTATCCTTTTTAAGTATTCAAAATCAACGGCTAGTTCAAAATCAAAACGCGCTCCAACGCGCATTTTATCAGCTTTCTGTCATCCAATTTTGATCTTATTTTAATTGCAATACGGAAAATTCACAATAAACATTTTATGCCATTTAATAATCGCATTTTCTTTCTATACAGTTTCTGTACTTTCTGAACTTGCAAATTACATAATGAAGTAAATTTTATACTTTTAGTAAATATGTATTAATATAATTTACATATTGAAATTAATTTATTTTTTATTTATTAATTTATTAAATTTGAAATTATATTTTTTGAAATCACGTATACCTACTGTCTATATTATTCTGTCTTAATCAACTAATAGTTTTTAAACTCCTTTCTTCTTTTCTTTTTAAACAGAACAGTTAGCTTCTAAAGTCTCTTCTAAAACTTAAAACTCTTCTAAAGTTATTTTTTTCTCAAAGTCTTCATCTAAAATTGATAGATATTCCAAAAATATCCACATATTGCTCAACCGCTCCATTTGTATATTTGCTCAATATTTTTACATGTCTGGCCATTGCACTGCAGGCAATAATCAGAACATTTTAACTCATAATTAACAAAACTACATATTTTTGTGTTATCTATTTATCAACAGCATCAATTTCCTTTGCAATAGTTCGTACTAAATTTTTGGCAGTAACTTTTTTGAGAGATATTCAAAATTCCTGAACTGTACTCTTTAATTCAGGACTTGCACAGTGCAAACTAGTGTAGTTCGAAGTGATTTTCTCACCTGATGTCAAAGAGTCTCGATAGGGGATAGATCGGGACCGCTTAAAGGCCATTTTAAAACAGGAATATTCATCTCCTGCAACGTCCATGTTACGGATTTTGTGTATGCCAGGCTGCTCGATCTTGTTGAAATATAAATTCCCCATCAAGCAGTTGAATTTAATTAATGGACAGTAATAACTCTTCTTGTAAAATACTTTTGTACTTCGTAACATTGACATTCTCATGAATGAAAAGGAGATGTCCAACTCTTTGACATACAGCCCCAGACCATCACAGATGCCGGGAACATAACCATTTTTTTTAAGCCATCTTTTGATATTCTGCCCCAGACATTCGAATAACACTATTTCGTGTATCGTTAACATAGACTTTAAACCTAGATTCATTACTACTAATATTTGTTTAATAACGAAGTCAGGCAGTAAAACTTGTCTGTTTGAATAAGCTCAAGGCAATTTTGAGTGAGCTCTTACCCTAACCCTGTAGAATTTATTGTATTTTAAACCAGTGCTGCACTTGGAAATAAACTCAAAATATGCTCAGTTGCTCAGTTAGTAATTGAATGGGTTCAGTAGCTCAGTTGAAAGTATTTTGGCAAGCATTTTTAAACACAGGTATCTAATTATACCTAAAGTTTAGTTGCATTTTGAATATTGTTTTGTATTCCGTTTTATTGCTTTATTTGTAGCATTTTTTACATAAGCAATAGTTGCTTCTCGCAATAAACTATTTCTTATTAACAATCATTTCACAATCTTACTTTTTCCTTAATACAAAAGAGCTAATGGATCACAGCCGGAAAATGCTGTTAAAAACCCACTACACTTTTTAAGGAAGCCTTCACGAGTTGACTTAACTTACTTGCAGCAAGTCGTAAATTTCTTTATATATTTTTCCTTTGCTGGGTTTTCAGAAAAATATGTATGAGTTTCAGTAACGTTTTGCATAATTATGACTACAAAATGAATATCCTCTGCAATATTAAAAACTGTTTTGTTATTTAAAGAAAGGTGCATCTTCATAAGCTTGCTTATTTTGAAAACCAGCTGTTTTAAGCTTTGATTTTAAAAAAGTAATAAATTGTTTTTTATTATGCTCATTTGATAAAAATTTATCTGACTGACTCACTGAGATTGAAGTCATGTTGCTCAAATCAATATTAGAACAAATATATTTGCTTGCCTTCAGCAGTTCCTCAGCTAATTTGGTATTGTCTTCTACATTTTTTTGGGTAGACATCGAAATTAATATAACTGCCTTTTGCATAATATCTTAATGCAAAATTTACATAATTTCTGAAGATACTTTCAGAGTTCCTTGAAATATAAAACACACCTCACAACTAGTCTAAACTATTGAATAATTTACTTTAAGAGCATTCAAAAAAAACTTTCTAGATCCAACTTTTGAGAGAACTTTAGATTGGAATTCGTACATCAATAAACTATAGCTTTCCTACCAAAAAAGATTAAACATACTTAAAATATTATCCAACAAAATTTGGGGTGCTGATCATAAAATATTAATTTGGCTTTACAAATCGCTTATTAGAATTAAAATTGATTATGGTTGTATATGTTATGATGGTGCATGTAAAACCACTTTAAAAAACAAAACACTGTTTAATCTACAGCTTTGATATTAGCATTAGGTGCTTTTAAAACTAGTCCGGTTAGTAATAGGCAAGTTCCTAACTGGAGAACCTCTGTTACATATAAGACGACAGCAACTATCCTTAAACTACATTGCAAAGATATCATCCCAGAAACAGCATCCTGTATTCTTTCACATCTACAACCCTGGTGTTCATCCTAACAAAAAGACTGAAAACTCTTTACCCTTATAGAAAAAATAAAGCTCACAGAAATATCGCTAAATATAAATACAAACTATTTCTCATGAACAAGCTACCCATTCACTATTGACTTAACACTTACAAAGGATCCCCAAACAACTACAAATTCCACAATAATTCAACATCTATTTATGAAATTTCTAGGCTACTATGCTGACTATTTGAAAATCTTTACTGATGCCTCTAAAATTCTCAATGGTCACGCTGCTGCACACTACTGTGAAGAAAATTCTTATAGCATATCGATACAACAAACTGCAGTATACTCATTGGCGAGACCACAGCTATTTTAAAAGCCTTAATATTCTTCAAAAAGAGTAGAACGATGAAGTGTAATATCATAAAAAACTCATTTAATGGATTACTGGGATTGAAACAAATATTACAAATAACCCTATTTTACAGACCATAAAAACAAACTAGAAACGTTCCGATCATTAGGAAAGCAACGCCTTTTATTTGGGTACCTTCACATGCAGATATCTACGTAAATGAAAAATCAGATCAACTTACAAACAAAAGTCGAATAACTCAAACCTTACTGCAAAATTCAAAACATCCGTACACCGATCTAAAGAACCTGGTTTAAAGTCAGGTACTCGTACATTGCAAAATTATTGGGAAAAAATAGGTACAAAATTAAATGTGATTTGCTCAAAAAAATGGTGTCCTGGAGAATCCTTCAAACAGAAGATACCGTTATTATTAACCATCTAAGAATTGGCCGTACTGTCTTAATACACAAATACTTAACAACAATCTGCTCCAGCCGCTCTGATCCACTGACCGTTAAACATATCCCGCTTGACTGTCCGCAATTCATGGAAGAAAGAAGATCCACGGAATCACGGAGATTATCTCAAAACAGTTCTCACCAAAAAATCTCAACAGTGTCATTAACCTATTGAAAAGAACCATCAAGTTATTCAATTCTAT